GTTTAGTCCTCAATATTGCTGACTTTTTTCCTTTTACAATCTAAACAGCGTAAAAATAATAACATTCCTCTTCTTGACCAAATTAAAGTTATTCAATATCAAAAAGATTCTACCAGCCTGTTTTACAAAAAAAAAAAAATTTGATGCGGAGCTTATCGAATCGACATTTTTAAAAATTAAATTTGAAGTAAAGATACCATCCTCTCCACTTTTGGAACTCCTAGGGGTGAATACTAAAAAAAAAGAAAATATTTTAAATGTCCTTTGTCCTTCTTTTGCACATGAAAGAAAAAATTATTTTGGATATACTTTCAATCAAATCATAACTCTCGAGTTTTATGCACTGTTTCAGAAAATTAGTTTTTTGTTATTTTTGAAGGTTGACTTCTGTTCGGATATTTGGCATGTTCTATTTGTTTGTGCTATAAACAGTGGGTACCTAATATTATTATAATATACATAAAATAAACAGAATTAACGATTGAACTATAATTTGTTTCATTTTTTGATATGCTAATAAGATCATAATATATATATTTATAATTTAAAATGTTGTGCTTCAAGTAGCTGCAAAAAATATTGGCCCATCTTCACTATAGCAACTAAACATGCTATCTTCTGCTCTATGCTATGCAAACTACAAACAATTTAGGCACTGGTCCATGCAACTCAAGATGCTATGTTCTGTTTACTTTTTTGTATCAATTTGAATATCTGTATTGCATTCGGCAAAATATAGTAACTCGATTTTCTCCGTAAATTAATTGAAGTATGCGATTTTAACCCGTTTTTTGAATTCCTCGCCTAATCATTACCTTATAGACGTTCTTAGTTTATTTCAAAATTTTATTTTTAAGAATGGCTATACGAAATTTGAAAAAAACGCTCTCCTGAAAAGTTGCTCCAAACTTAGTTACTAGGTTCTGCAAAAGGACGGCAGAATTGAGCTTGGTACATGGCAGGGAACAGCTGTTGAGGCCAGACTTAGATCGGGCGACTTATCCCCACCGTGGACCGCCCGCACCCCAAATCCCCCCTGGCCTATAAACATGTTGTCAACACAACAAATAGTATTTTGTGAATGGAATACTCCGTCTATCTGTGATAATAGGGCATTGAGTAATCAGTAATGAACTTTTGTTGATTGGTTTACCTACAACGTGGATCTTGAATTGTAGCTGAGCTTCTGGTGGACTTTGGAAATTAAATCGGAGAGTAAACCATAATTTTTCTGAACTCGGGGAAATCAGCAGTCGCGAATTGTTTTCCATCCATTTTTATAGATTCATGCTGGCCTCAAGTGCTGCACTGTGTTCTGTCATAGCCTGAGGTGTTTTGCTGTGCCTTGCTACTTTCTCGGGCGATTCCTCCATTGCTTTGCTTTGTTGTGTCATTGTGACAATATCGTTATTCATCGTTTGACACAAAAACTGAGGAAGAAGGTATTCAACTGGCCCATCCTATATTTGCTTTTTTCAGAGGGGTGAATAGCTGACCCAAAATACAAAAATAAAAAATTAAAAAATAGTAGGTACCATAAGCAATGTGCTCGGTAATGTATTAAGAAAGTCAGTAGGTATATCTGGAATCGGAATTTCTAAAATATATACCAGGTGTTTGTTCCATTAAAAAAATCATACCACATTATCATTTGCATCAATAACTCAAAATGTCGGGGCAAAGTTAATATCAAAAAAATAAAAACTGAAAAAAAAAGAGAAGGAAATGAGTTTTTTTGACATTATTGGTGAAAAGATGAGCTTTTGGATTTTTGCTTCATTTCCACTTCACTTCCAAAGGTACGACCCAATCAAATCCACTCGTTCAGGATCAAGACCATGAGCACTGAATACGTTGCACTGTGAGCTGAACTTTTTAATCAAATTTCCATGATACAGGTAATCAACGGCCTTGGTCAGATCAAAAAATAGGCCCCAGCATAGTTTTTCCTTCCAAAGCAGTTGCCATCCTACATAGGAGGTGAGGGAATTAATTGCCATATTGGTGGACATCCCACTGGCAATCTGGCATGGGTTGAATAGATAGTTATTATGCTCCTCAATAATTCGTGATTTTAGTACAGTTTCCTAAATTTTTAAGTAAATTTTACTTGGTTAGGTACTGAGGTAGGTACATAACTAACTTATGGAATAAAAATTCAGTTGCAATGCAAAATCTTTTATATTTGGCTTTTTATCTCAAAAGCCCAAGATCGTGTAGATAAGGGGATGGGTTTTCAATTGCTAATAATTTTTATTTCAAATACTAAATGCTCACAGAATAAATTTCTCTTAGGAATGCACAATTTTTTATGGTATTTTATTTATTTATTTATTTATTTATGGGCAACGACTGACCATGTTATATAAAAATCCAGACATGATACAAGATGCAATAAAAGATAATTATAAACCTTAATCTAAACCTGAATTACCTACATCCGCTTCAACTACCTACCTACTATAAAAAATTAAAATTGTGATATAGGAGATAAAACAATACTCGAAATAATATTAGATAAAATGAAAAATTATAGAAAAATAATCAGCTAGAGAAGGCCGCTTTTACTAGCTTGGTTTGAAGCTAGTAAAGGATTCACTAAAGAAGTCCAACTCAAGTAGTAACTTAAATTTTCTGATGGCAAAAACTAGTAGTTACATACTAGTTATTAGTTCACTCTCAGTAATAGAAAAACAGCAATGGCAATGACATTTGTATACTATTGGAATAAAATAAATTACTTTGAAATATTTATTGATATTAGTATTATGCACATAACAGGTTAAACCATTCATTTTGCACCACTCGTTACATTTATAGGCTGCTTAACATTTGAATTGACTTTTAAAATTTATATTTATAAAATTATAAAATATGGTTTACTTAACTGTTTTGTTTTTTTTTTTGGCCTTGCTTTTGCTTTGCTGCTGTTTCTACTGACTTCATGCAAATTCCTTAGTTGTAGCAATGGCCTTAAACTTGATTTGATCTTGATTTTTGTTGGTTTTTAACCGAAACGACAAAACATTAAGATGTCTTGACGCCAATGGAGTTAATGGAAAGCTATTAATCATGGGATGGGATTGCAAGTTATTTTTATATTCACAAAATAATAATTAACAAAAGAAAATGGAGCTGAAAATTGTATTTTTTTTTGGCTTGTTAGGTAAACTTCCAGGTAAACTGATTTTATTTAATTTTTGAAATGGGCATAATTTGATAAAGCAACTGAAAATAGAATTGTCTTCATCTTTACTTTTGAAAAACTTAGGGTCCTGTTTGAGTAAATGGATAAAAAAGATAACTCTCGACTTGCACTTTATCCATAATACGTCACAAGTTAATTGTCAGAATTAAAAATAGTTTCGATTCTAAGATGTTGGCAGAATACCAATAAAAATTGTTTAATTAATTACAGTACACAGTCGTTAATATGAACACCAAAAGACCAAGTTACAGTAAGATTCAAAACATTTATAATGTCAGATGTTTTTTTGGTCATAGTTTTTCTTATATGGCAGAAAGATTATCATCTGAGAATTATTCACAGACATTGGGCTACCCTGTACAATTGAACAACTAATTATGTATGTATTTACATGTTGTACATCCCAGTTATCTAGTAATACGTTGCACTGTGAGGTGAACAATGGCATGAGAATATATGTGAAGAAAAAAAAAAGTCAATTCGTCATTATTAACAAATCAATGGGATTTATATCCCTGCTAATCAAAAAACTATTATAAAATACAAAATAATAAAAAATGCTTTAAAAAATGTAGAATAAAAAAAAAACTATTAGATATTTAGGTATGATAGGAGGACTTGACGCTAACGAGGAATGTGACTAACCACAATTTTTAGTTATCGCATTGTACAAATTCATGCCACTGTGCTGGGTCGTGCTTTTACGCAAACTGATAAATGCCAAAACTTTTCCTATTCCCAGTGCAGTATTGAAACTGCATTAAAATCCTCAATTTTTTTTGTGTGCAGTGTTGTGTTTTTTTTTATACTGGAATCTTAATCATTTCGACGGTATTTTTGTCCTATAATAATAGCCTTATGGTATGTACCTATTGTTTTTTTTTTTTTTTTTTTTTTTTTTTTTTTTACGGATATGCGCACTCGCAAGGAAATGTCCTATCACGCTCGAGAAGCGGCAAGTGCGCGGAAATGTCGGTGTATGTTGGTCTTGAAACGGTTCAGGTTGTAACCTGCAGGGAAAACCGTCGCAGTTTTTTATGCAATATACCTATAATGCTTAATGAAATAATATGTCGATGTTTTATACCCGAGCTTATACCTATTGCTGGAAGTGAGCGGGTCTTTACCTACCAACCTCGCTACCAACAGTGTTATCCTAATGTATAATGTGAAATTTGCGGTTGTAATTTCTAGTTTGAAGTAGGAACATTCGAATAAATTCTCAAAAATGCCTATAAAAAATACCTTTGTTGAAACTATCATCATTCATTTTTTTAATTGTTGATGTAACTGTTCCTGTCGACTTAGATTTATGCTTGTCACACTATGTTAATTTTTTTTATTATAGGGAGTTGCTAGCTTTCATAAACCTAGCATTTTCTTAGTTTTTTTTTATTTTCTTGAGAACTTACGGAGCACCTAATTATTATGAAAGCCCGGAACTTTTTTTCCACCATGGGATTGCTAGGTTTATAGACCTACTTAATAAATAGAGGACTGAAAGGTGTTGACTTTTCGTACTCTGTTGTGGAAACTTATTGAAGCTCTCTTATACACCCGCATATTGTCATAACTTATTGTTTGTTTAATTTTAGTTTTTTATAGCTCATATTTAATGTGCAATTGTAAGTTTGTTAGCAATTTTTACAGATATGGGGAATAACCATATCTGTATATTTCAAGTGAAAAAATATTTTTTGGCTAGTTTCCTGAAGCGATGATGTGCGAACGTGTGTTTTAACAAAAACAAATATTGTGCTTTCTGTGTTACTAACAGTGCTTTTTGTTGCAGGCTGGCGATTTTACTGACATTTGTGACTGGCCTACGCTAGGAGATCCTCCCCAAGAGGTTAGCTTTTTTGTTAATTTTTTTCAATACATATCTCATTGATCAGTTAAAGGTCTATTTAAAAAACAGCCATTCAATTCTTAGTTTAAATAGGCATATTTAAACATGTTCTTTTATGCATATAATATCACGTTTAAAATTCATTCATAGGAAACAAAAAAAAAAAAATGATCAAAGCTGAGAAACACAAAAAATCGAATACAGTATTGTGTGGTAAAAGTTGAAAATGTTTTTTTCTCATAAAATCAATACATCTTAGTATTGTGATTGTGAATAATTATCTGTGAGTAACTTGTAGAAAACTCTGGCGAAATTTCGTTTAGAGGAAAGCCGCCTATATGATAGGTGTTTTTTTAGTGGTAATCTACAATCCATTAGACAGAACCCAACACCATCCATTTTTTGGAGGACTCTCATTTTAGGTAAGCGAGAAAAATCGTGTTTTTTTACTTCAGGAAACTCCATATACTTATACTACAGCTAATAACCATCATAAACTGGCTTTGACAGTTATTTGCAGAAATCAGTTAAAGCAAGCTCGGATCCTCTTCTTGACCTTTGACACAGATCAACAAATTATCTGATATAATCAGCTCAATATTTTCATTGCTTCATTAGCGAAAAGCATTGAACGTGTGTGACATTTGTAGAGAAAAATCTCGCAAGGGAAGCCCTGTTTGAAGTTAACATATACCTACTGCAGCTAATAGATAATAAACTAGTGCCAAGCCTGATTTGCGGAAATGCCAATTTATTTGGAAAATTCGATTCCCTAAAAAAACGAATTGTGTAACGTTAATAATACTCAATCACTTATACTATAGACAGTTTTCCCAGAATGAAACCTGAGCCCATATTTTTGGCAAACTTTTCAATGTTTTTGAATAACAAAGTGTTCCGCAACATCTACTATATTTTCGTTCATCCGTTTCAGAATATTAATGTGTGCTTGGTTTTTCGGGAGAAGGGTTATGATGAAAGAACGGAGAATTATTTACCAATTAAAATTGAGTTTCCGAAGATATCTTATTGCTTTAAAGTGCTTACTCACTAGTAGTAAATCTACCTGTAGATTATTTTTTGTGTAGGGCGAGGTGTAGGGTTTCCCTTATAAGATTTTCATTTAAATGCTAATGAGAGAAAGAACGAATTTTCCCGATAACAAAGCATTTCTGCAAATTTTAATATTTATCAGTAGTAGCTACTAATCTAAACGCTAAATGAAATCAGAAGTTGAATTTTTGCACATGTGAGCTAAGCAAGCAGTAACCAATTGTTTATCCATAGTGTTTAGATCAGTGGTAGTAGAATACTAACATGTAGCCACTTTGTAGCAAAATGATTCCCTTGCAATTTTTTTTCTATGGTTACTACGTCTTTCTGCGGCATGTTGATGGTGGTCATTATTAGAGCACTCATCAATACTTACTTGGTTTTCTATAGACTGTTTCCTATGAACAAAACTTGAGCACAGATCACCTACATACAGATGCGAAAGCGCGGTAAATTCGTGATTCAAGATTAATTTGGCGGACATACGCTGGCCTCACCAATGCCGCATCAATAAATTTTGAGCATATTTATTATACAGGTGTTTGGTAGGTCGATGCATATATTTTGGGATGTGATAGATTAAGTCATTTAGAACCTACTAAGTCAAACTTACCTCAGTAGCAAGTCTTATGGTTTTCAAAATATGGACGATTTAATTTGTTCTCGAAAAAATCTAACAAATCCTTTGTTGGGCGCCTTAATGCAATAGGTATTCTGAAAAACATCATAAATTATCATGAAAATTATCCATACCTTTACCTATTTCAGTCTAAAAGCCGAACATTTTGTTTGTAAAAAGAAGAAAAAAAAAGGCTATTCCAGTTCTTTTCCTGTGGTCTAAAATGATTTTTGTACAGCAATCCAAAAAAAAAAAAATGGGGATATTCACCATATTTGAATTTCATTGTTTTATTATTTTTAATCAGTTGTATTAACTAGAATAACAATACCCTTGCTTCCAGTTGGGTTTAAAATGTCCTAATTTTTTTTAAAATAATTCTCAAAAATGCTGTTTTCATACCACATATTTAAACGTACTGGAATGGCGCCATTGTATGACGTATATACACATTCCGACCAATAAGAATCGTTCACAATAGCTCTGGCGCACATCTTATATGGTTTCCTTGTCTAAGCTCTGAAGAGTGACAATGATGAAACTCCTCATTCGTTATTTGCATCTTGTTCGTTTAACGCTGGTCAACATAACCTACTTGACGTTAGACAGTGCAACGTTGCCAAACTGAATGTCGTGATTCCTTAATACTAATATGACGTGAAATAAATTCTTTTTCAACACTAGAAAAACTGTTGTTCTACAACTAAACCTACTAACAATCAAAAAATTAAATTGATTTTATAACTTTAGGCCAAAATATACTACAAAAAACTGTATAATGAATGACGCTTCTAGAGGCAATCTTATTGGAAATCAACAATGACAACGACAATCTGACAACGTACTTATTTGCAGTATATTTCTGCTAGTTGTAGGGACTGACGTCATATTCGGCGGGTTTTCTGCGCCGTTTGAAATGCTGCTGAATTTATATTTTTTGTTAAAAAATAACGGCAACCCAAATGTTCCCCAAAATAGTGTTATTAGACTTAGTTTGTGTTCTAGAATTCGAAAAAAAAAAAAAAAACACTAAATATCCCCATTGTAACTTTTTCGTGTTATGTGCAATTTGAAAAGGGACATGATGTGACAAAAGTTTTAAAGTAACTTTGAAAAACTTGGTTGTCTTTATTTTATCATATTTTCTTTTCTGAAAAAAACTTTGTTGCAATAGAGTTAATATGGCTTTATAATGGCACTCTGTGGTACTCCTATTGTTATTTTTTGAATATTTTATTGTTAATGCATTTTACACAAGAAATACACATTGTGTTAGGAGATAAAACAAAAATAATTGAGATAGTATTTCTGAATATTTCATCATAGCGCCCAACAAAGAATTTGTGAGATTTTAAATCAATAATTTAAATCGGTCATATTTTGAAAACCGTAAGACTTGGCAGTAAGTTCCAAATGACTCCTCTATCACCTCCCAAAATATATGCATCGACCTACCAAACACCCTGCATAATTTTTTTTTGAACTATTCAAATCGCGCTTTGTATATTTTAAAGTATAGAATAATATCCCTGATCTAACAAATAGCTCATTTACATATTATATTTTAGGAAAGTCCGTACACGGACGAACAAAGTCGATTTTGCTCATTTCAGTAAAAAAAATTGCCCAAAACATCATCAAAAAACGACAAAAATAGTTTAATTTGTTTTTGTCGGTAATTTCAGATTCTTTGGAAAAAATAAACACATGAATATTTTTGCAATGTTTTATTTATTAAATACCCGCAAAAATATGTAAACACAACAGGCTGGAACACGCTCACGCACTATAAGACCTAAAACACACGGGGCGGTTTCTGCCGAGTCGGCACCGATTCGGCGGAGGAGCGGCTCGAAACACACACAGCGTTACCGCGCCTGGCGGATCAACTAATTCAAAAATGCATAATCTCGCTGTTGCCAGTTGGTTGCGTACAGTCACACCGTACGCAATGGCGTCTTCTAGTGACGACGATTTTTTTTTCGGATTTTGTTGGAATATTCCTCTGAGCCCATATCCCAAATCGCTGGCCCTATGTGATTCTCATTAATAAGCCTCTCAACGTTCAAATTTTCCATAATTTTATTCTAACTGGCAACACTGATGTTCACGAAAATCAAAAAACCGTAGTAAAACCGCTCGAAGTGTGTTTCTTTCCATAAGCGAACAGGGAATGATGCGCCGAGCCTGTGCCGACTAGAGTCGTAAAACCGCGCTCGGCACATGATTGCCAGCAGGGTACGCTCGGCCACCGCTCGGCAGCCGCCTCCGACGAGACACCGTCTTGTTCATATAATAGAAGTGTCATAAACGAGACTCCGCTTCAGTGACCGACTTGGCGGCCGACTCGGCAAAAACCGCTCCGTGTGTTTTAGGCCTAAATGATCGGCCGCGTTGTCCTGACGCGCGGGAGCCGGCTACCCTGTTTTCGTACCTTTGAATCGTCGACGGCAAGGATACTTACTTACGCATCTGTAATTCGGTGATCTGTGACTGGAGCCCAAACCTAATGTCACCTTAAAAAACCGGACAGATTTATTTATATATCATATACAGACTGACAATTTCAAAAGTAGCAATCGAAATAATCCCTTAAGGCCGTTTTACAGTTCGCTATTTGTCTCCCTGCAAGTTTATTGCTGCTATAAATTTGTCACAATTTTACAGTTGGCAATTTTTATCCTTAATTTCTTGATGCCATTTTAATAAATACCAACCACAGAAATAATTATGAACGTCAGCTGTGTTCAATAAGGTTATCTTAAGCGTGTTTGGTTTTTGGTTTAGATATCAAAAATTCAATAATAATAAAGGGATTCAGATTATGAATCAGCTCTTGCTGCTATTATTCTAGTAAGCCCTAACATTTAAAGGGGGTGTGCGCCAAAAATTAAAGTTTTAGTGTAAAAAAATCTAAGAATAACTGTTCAAACCTCGTTATTCTACGATAAACCATCGCTGAGATATACCGCTTTAAAGTGTGGACGACGCTCTCGTGACGTCACGAAAACTTCGTCCAGCGGCGCTCTGCATTGTTAATTTGATTGTGCCCGGCACGCGTGAGTGGTTTTTGTTTAGATTATTGCAGGTAACACAGGAAAAACATTATGTAAATTTAATTAAATCCACTTTCTCGTGCGTCGCTTGAGCTTTCGTGACGTCATAGGGTGAGATGCGGTACCTTCATAGAGCCATATCTGCGGTATTATTTGTCATAGAGGGGTGCGGTTTTCACTGTTATTCTTAGATTTGTTTTCTCTTTTTTTTTTTTTGAGATGAAGTTGTTTTTTTGGCGCACACCCCTTTTAATGCAGTTTATTATAAGGAG